AAATAAAATAAAATACATTTAATAAATTGACCAGCTCTCAGTTGGGTTTTGGCCACTAGGTTTCACTTTCATCTTTATTATGGAAATAATAGATTTTGATGACAAGCTCATATAATAGCCAGGCTGTGACAAATTTGAAAGTAAATTACAGTGGTATGAAAAGAAATTAATACCCCTTGATGAGAATGTTCCTGACTATAAATATTTTGTTGTATCTCCAGCCGTAAAAATCATTATCAAAAGAAGTGTTTTCTTAAGAATAAGGATTAGCAGAACCACATAATTACTAGTTGTATGAATTGCACATAATTATACTACAAATTGAAGTCATTGCTATCAAAGATAGAGAGAGAAGGTTACATGGATCTTCACCGAGTTTATCATGGCTCCAAAGAGCCTGTGAAATCACGGATTCAGAGGGGTGATAAAGCAGCACGAGTTCCTAAACCATGCTGGTGGAGGCTATTGTTCTGTTTCCTCCTCCTAACCGGTTTAAAAATAGGTCCTCTAGCCAAATCAAACAGGGCCTCATGCTCATTCTTTAAAGGTCCACACATAGGGCGCCAGTGGTGGTGCTGAGGTGGTTTCAGGCTCCCTCGAGACCCAAGTGTACAGAGCAGGAACTGGAAGTCATGGCCCGCTTTGACATCGCGTGATACTGCTGCAGAACCAACCACTCCAAACTCAGTGTCACACAGTGATGAGCAGTATTCACGCTCTCTCCCAGGGCTCCAGGGGAGGGCTTCTAATGGGTTCCAGCCCCGTCCTCTGGCCAGAGCTCCAGAGCCACCCCGACAGTCCGTGTGTGGCATCTGCTCACATCCTGTTGGGCAGAGCAAATGACAGCCAGAGCCAGGGGAGAGGCCGGTTCATCCTGAGGCCATGACAAGGGCATGGGGTGAAGGTGAGTATGAGGCTCACATACCCCTCAAAGTGATCCCCCAGGGAAAAACGTACCCCATAAATGACAAAGGGAAGAATGCTGCTCCCCTTTAATACAATGGATTGTTCCCTTCGAAAATACCTACTTACAAAGCATACTTTCAGGGCATTTATTTTTTTGTTTTGCTTTTTATTTGTTGAGACAGGATCTCTGCATGTGGTCCAGGCCAGCCTTAAGTTTGCTTTGTACCCCCATACAATCCTCCAATTTGTGACCCTCCTGTCTCAGCCTCCCAGAGTGCTGGGATTACAGGCCTGTACCTCCACACCAGGTGAGAATTATTGAACAAGGTCAAATGCCTGCCTTTGGGGTGAAAGAGATAGATTCTTACCCAAATGATAAAAACACACAAAAGAGTCAGAATAAGCTGAGATAGAGATTTTAACAAAATGCTGTGCTCAAAGAAAAAGGGAGTGTGGTGAGTGTGTGAGTGGGGAGTCTAGTCCTAGAAGGTAGAGGACCACAAAGGGGCTGATGGGCGCAGCGACAGAGTGAGCCACACCCCGAGCCCAGTGAGGCTCACCCCAGGGTCCCCAGTGATACAGATCATGAGGGCAGCAGGCCTCATATCAACCACATGGCCTATGAACAAACTGGCAGCAAAGAATTTCTTTCCCAGCATTCAGGAGGCTGAGGCAGGAGGATCTCCATGAGTTCAAAGTCAGCCTGAACTACAAAGTAAGACCCTATCTCAAAAAACCAAAGCAAAGAATGTTTTTAGAGTGAAACTCCACAAAAGAATAGAAGAAAAGGTTGCAGTGGACAGTATACATCAAGAATCTTCAGAAGACTGAACTCTAGAGGGAGTTCTGCAGGGTGGAGAAAACTGAGAGAGAGCCTAGAGGGATGGGAAAGGGAAGCCACAGAGAACCACAGAAAAGCTGGGTGTAGCTGAAATGCATCCCTGGGGCACCACACTAGGGGGAGGAAGTGGGCCGAGTCGGTTTACCCCCCGGAAACAAACATACCTTAGAACTGACATTTCAGAAGGTGGGGTGCAGCACAGAGGGGACTCCAAGGGCCACTGGGCATTGGGGTGATGTCCTTCCCCTTGTGCACAACCCAGCCACTGCCCAGCCCTGTGTCAACAAGTGGCGCGGAAGGTATTCCGGGAGGACAGAGCCCATGGTCCCAGGCACAGCCAGGGGGAAGTAGGAGGCCAGGCTGAGACTGCGGATCTTAGGAAGCAGAGGCCTGGTGGAGGCTGACTCTGTGTCCCCGTCGCAGGTCTCCTGGCCTTTAGCTCCCTGGGCTGGAGAAGTGGGACAATTCTCAAGGCAAACCCGGCTTCAGAGAAAAAGGTAGGTGGCTCCAAACTGGGAAGAGTCGCTGCTCCACCCAGTCCAGCCTGGACCTGATCTCGTGCGCCGAGGTGATTCAAACCCAAGCCGCTCAGCTCGTGGCCCAGGATCACTTCACAGCAAAGCATTACTGCTGCAGCAGAGGAACTTCTGCAAATTTCTCTTCTCAAACTGCTTTTTTCAAAGTTTAATGCCTTTCCCAAAAAGCACAGATTCACTAAGACTTCTATAATTTCCATTGTCCTGCACCAGGACAATGGGACCATTGTGATATCCTGACTTCCATCTATTGATGCTATTTAAAGTGTAAATATTTCTTATTGGAATTTTGCTGTGATTCATAGGATTTTTGCCTCCCATAAAGAAAGAGATTAAATTGAGGGAGCTCAAAAAACATGATACCCATGCTAAATCCATAGCTGAATTTAGCTTTTTTTTTATTTTGACAGGGTCTTGCCCTGTAGCCCAGGCTGGGCTTGAGCTCTCTGCGATCCTCCTGCCTCAGCATCCAGAGTGCTCAGATTACAGGCATGCACCACCATGCCCGGTCTTGGATTTCACTTCCGTTTATCTCAGGTCAAACTCCCTAGAAACAACCTGGGAATGATTAACATGCAGAGGTAGCTGGTCCTCCCTAACAGTGGGATCCACATCCTCCGATCCAACCAAACACAGATTAAAAGCCCTCAGAAATAAACAAACAAACAAAAAAAAAAAACTGTGCATGGAGTGGTGGCACATGCCTGTAATCTCAGCACTCAGGAGGCTGAGGCGGGAGGATGGTCGTGAGTTCGAGGCCAACCTGAACTACATAACAAGACCTCCTAGTCTTAAAAATAAATTTTAAAAGAAAGAAAAAAATTGTGTCAACATGCCAAGATTCCTTTCTTGGCATTATTCCCTCAGCAAAAGAGAACAACACCAATTCACATAGCAGTGACAGAAGGACTTGAGCCCTTATAAAAGAGGCCCAAAAAAGAGGCTTGATGAAGCTTATTTTGTTGTTTTTGTTTTTGTTTGCGGTAGGGCGAGACGGAGTCTCTATGTAGTTCAGCCTGGTCCTGAACTCACTAAATAGCTCAGGCTGGCCTTGAAGTCACAGTGATCTTTGTGCCTCAGTTTCCTGAGTGCTGGGATTACAGGAGTGCATCACCACATCCTGCTGCTATGGACTGAGTCGTGTCCCCACAAAACTCAGAGCCTCCTCAGAACGTGACTGCATTTTGAGACAGAACCTTAGAGCAAAATGACATCATGAAGTATGCACTAATATGACCAGATCCTCATAAGAAGAGATTAGGCCACAGACACATGGAGGGGAGATGACATAGGGACACAGGCAGAAACAGCCTCCTCCAAGCCAAGGAGAGGTGCCCCATGCATGGCCACTGCCTTGATGCCAGCCTTCCAGCCTCCAGACCGTGAGAAGCAGATCTCTGGACAGTCCGGTAGTTTCTTCGGTCCTCGAGAACTCTAGGCCCAGCCTGCCCTCACCTCTCATCTG